GTACAGCAGCTTTTTAAGTGGGAGAACTTACACAATTGGTGGCTGACTAAATACTTTTTTGCCCCACTGTATGTGGTTTTAGGTTTATGCGGTTCATATACCCACCTGGCAAATATTAATTCTAGAAGCGTGATTGATTTGTGTATGATGAAAGAATTAGTGATGGATACAGTGGTGATGAGAGATTCTGAATATGGGACAGGACATTTTTTTATTGTAATTCATGAAGGAAAGAAAGGTAAATGAAACAAGATTAAAAGTTGGATGAATGTAGGAAGAGTAAATATGAGTCTTACATGAAAAAAAAATAGAAGATAGATTAATTTCCCAACAGAATGACTGGAAAGTGAATGTAAGGAAAGAAGAGATAGTAGCTGCTTGGAAATGAATGAAGAGAAGTGAAGAGAACCAAAGAAATTACCTGACTAGGGATAAAACTGAAGTGAGGGGGTGCTGGAAAGAGTATTTTGGAGACTGTGTAGAAGCACTGGTACTATGTCAAAGAATGGAATTGAAATGAATGCTGTAAATCATAGAATGCCAAGAAAAAATAAATAAATGAAGCAAAAATCATAAATGTGGTAGGGATATTTAACCATGGTGAGGTTGCAGATATAACTGGTGTCAAGGGAGTAATGTTAAAATAGGGATGTGGTTTGCATATGGATTGGCTGTGCATCTTGTTTAATGCATGTTTGAACACTGCAACTGTGCCTGACAATTGGAAAAATGTGGTTATTGGTTCCCAAAACAAAGGGAAAGATGGCAAGAGCAAGCAAAAAACACAGGGGAAGTGCTTTATTAAGTATATCTAGGAATGTTTTGTTGAATTCTGATTGAAAGGACATAAAAGATGATAATGAGCAAACTTTGGGAAGTGCATAAATATAAGAAAGCAAGTTTAATCTTCAACTGTTGATTTAGAGAAAGCACCTGATAAAGTGAAGAGGCTTCAGTATAGAAAGTTTTGTAGGAATATGGAATTGAAAGTTGGTTGTGGAATGCAGTAAGAGTGATGTGTGTGTATGGTGTGTTTGTGATGGAAGTAAAGCATAACCTAAGAAGAAATGGAATGCTGAGTGAATGATTCAACAATGAGCAAGACATAAGACAAAGTTGTGTGATGTGTTCTGATTGTTAATATGTTTACTGATAAATGTATAAGGAATGTGTGAAGTCACATTAGAGGTGTGTTCATTAGGGTAGAGAATATATGTGTATTTTTCTATGCATGTGATGCCATGTTGTTGGCTGATTTGCAGAGAATGTTAGATGGTTTGATGTAGCAACAAGCATGGATCTAAAAATTAATGTATCAAAGACCAAGGTGGTTAGGTGTTACAGAGTAAATGGAGTGCACATTGCAAGTTGTAAACAAACAAAAAAAATAGATGAATTTGTATGCCCTGGTAGAATGTTTACTAAAGATAGGAAAATGGAGAAATTTTAAGATGGAAAAAATGGTGGTGGAGAAGTAGTGGATAATATGTGGTCTGTTCAAAGCAAGGAAAAATGTCTATGTATAAAAACATACTTCTGCCCACCCCATTACATGGAAGTGAGAATTTGGTATGTCAGGAGAAACAAAAATGAATGCAGTAAGAATGTTGTACTTGAGGAGTATGTGTGGTAAGAGAGGCTGCTGGATGAATGACAACTAAAAAAGCGTATAGGTAGTCCTCAAGTTACGACCATTCGCTCAGCAACCATTCAAAGTTACGATAATGCTGAATGAAGGGACTTATGACCAGCCCCCAAAGTTCCAGCCATTGCAGCGCCCCTGCAGTCATGTGAACAAAATTTGGGTGCCTGGCAACCAGCTTGCACTTAAGACCAATTACAGTGTGCAATCATGTGATTGCCATTTGTGCTCTTCCCTGCCAGCTTCCCCCTAGCAAAGTCAATAGAAAGCCAGCAAGGAAAGTCACAAGTCGTCGGAGTAAGTCTCCCCACCTCCCCTGCCTTTCTTTGCTTGCATGCACCATGCCTGCACCATGCCCTCCTTTGCTCTCATGCACCCTGTGCTCTTTCCATGGCCTCCCTGCAATCACACATGTGAATCATGCACCCTCTTTCCACGGCCTTCCTGCAATCACACACACCCCGCGCTCACTTTCCATGGCCTCCCTACATTCGTACACCGCCCCCGTGCCCTCTGTCCTTGGCTTCCATTTGATTGCACACATGCACACACATACCCCGTGCCCTCTTTCCACGGCCTCCCTGTGATCAAGTGCACCCCATACCCTGTTTCCTTAGCCTCCCTGCAGTCACATGCATCCTGCACCCCGCACCCTCTTTCCCAGGCCTCCCTGTACTCGCACCCCACATGCTCTTTCCCCGGCCTTTCTGAATTCATGCTGCACCAAGCACCTCCTCCCCCAACTTGTGGGCGGCCTGCGCTGGGCCTCCCCCACCCGCCTGCGGCACCTCTGTGCTCCTTACCTGGGGACTCCCTCTGCTTCCTGCTTAATGACCCACATATTGGGGTTATGACGCCAGCTGGGACTGCCTGGATTGCTTTCACTAAGCATGCAGTCACGTGATGTCGCACTTTATGACCACATCACTTAGCAATGGCAATTCCAGTCCCAACTGCACTTGTAACTCGAGGATTACCTGTATGATCAGTAGGTAAGAAATACATTGAGGTGATTTGGTCCTATAGAAATACTGAATCACAAAATGAATTTATGAAGGAAGAGCAGATGGGTTGGGTGGAATAGGAAGATCAAAGGTTGTGTTCTTATGATCTTGAAAAAGAGAAAGGTGAGCAATTTAAAAAACCAAAGGCAATGTGTGAAGGAGCTTATGGACGTGATGGAAGCAAAGATGGTTTATAAGAATAGAAAGATGTGGAAAGTTGTAGTGAATGGAGTGGGTGTAAACTAGCTTTTAGCTATAGTTTGTTTTCTTTTTCTTATCTCCCATTTTCTGTTTCTTTGGCTGACTATTTCTTGCTCCTTTTTTCTGCTCTCCATAACCCAAAAGGGAGTAGTGTGGTGGGTATGTATGTTTGTTCTTAACCCTGTCTCTTCTAGTTTTACCACACATTTCTGAAGGAGCCCATTCCCACTGAAGAAAGCTAACCCCTAGTATCAGCCGGGCCTCATAATACGAAAATAAACTGAAGTTACATAATTTTCAGCATCTGTTTATTAACTGCACAAAGATTATGAGGACAACTTTAAGCAACAGGACTGGAGCAGTTGATAGGGCATCTCGCCTTGTGTTCAGTGCAGTTGGGTTGGGTCCCATGTTGTTACCAGACAGGCAGAGTGACAGGACTGAGAAGACCGTTCTCCTAGGCAGCTGTAGAGCGAAAGGAAGATGATCTTGATGGAAATATGCAAAAACTGTTACCTTGGCAAAAGAGGCTGAGGCATTTTTTAAAATCCAGAGCAACGAGATAACATTTGGAAGTGGATCAGACAGTTGCCTCCCTGATTCACTGGAGTATAAGAAGGGGGAGAAGGTACAGCACAGTCCAACTTGCAAGATTCTGTTGTTATAGCCCATCTCAATAAAAATAGTTTTAGCCTTCCTATGGAATTGATTTCCTGATCTGGTCTACCTAGTGGGGCTGACAGCAGCAAGACCCGCAATCTGGTAGCTCTTTGGTGCATGCATTTAAGAGCATGTTTTGTGGGGGGTACCTCTTGCCACCTTAACCTGTGGCCCATTCATTGGTTTAGAGATTCTTCTGTCGTGCAGAGTGATAATCACAAACACTCCTGTTTG